GGCTTCCAGGAGGCCCGTCACTGCCAAGGGAAGCGTCCCCGCGCGCACCCTCCACCGACACGCATGCGGCTGCCGCCACGGCATCCAGAGCGGCGGCATGTGCGGGGGTCGCACGTGTCAGCGAAGGGTGCACACACGCGTGGCCATCCCCCCCCCTTGGCCCAGCCAAGACCTGGGCTACGGGAGACTTGCCCAGGTCTCCAAAAGGTTGCCGGTCCCTGGCATAGAGGGACTGCAACATGTTCAACAAGAGGTTTGGAGAAATGGGAGAGGGAAAGGAAGTAAGTCACATAATATCTATTCAATATTTCCCTTATCTGGTTCACTTACTCCTCCCTGCTGAAAACCCCAATTCATCTTAATACTTTGGGGTGGTGCCTTTGGCCCTCAATTAAGTAGTGTACCCAGTGACCTCTGAAATCCTCCAAAGAGATCTTGTAGCTAACTCCCCAGAGCAACTCTACATTTCCATGAAAGAAATATGAATCATCACTAACTGCACCATTAACCACCTGGATGGGCAATTCCTTTGTAATGTCCCTCATCTCAGATCTCAACCTCATTGTATTATATTCTTTCTATGTGTTTGTTTTTACATAGGCTATATGAATACCCATCCTTTGACACATTATACACTGTGAGCCCTGGATGACTGGTTCAGTTGTTCATTTAGTATTTTGAAGTCCACTAGTCCATCTCATATAAGTCAAAAAATTGTGGGAGGATGTTCCCAATAAAGTCCCTCCCTTAATTAAATATCCATACTGAATGTTTAGCATCTTTTTCAACCATTCAGACCATAAAGAGTATGTATAAATGCATTTCCAAGTAAAATAATCTTTCATGATGCTGTTCAGTGAAAATTAAACAGAATGAATTTCTAACTAGATAAACACAAAAAGGCTTGGTTTCTGGTGAGAATATAGTATGAGGACTCCCCAGTTTTTCTCACATTTTCCCCTCCATGGACATGCTGGGATGCATGCATAGGCTACTAACTATTGGAATATCTAAGGCATATTTCCCCCTTTTCCCAATTAAAGCTACACCTACTTCAGGACATGTGCAGCTTTCAGGACATGTGCAGGTGGGTATGAGAAGTGCATATATTCTTACTTCTAGCCTTTTCAGTGCCCAGTCCTCCCTGCAGGTGGAGAAAACATGAAAACAGGTGTCTACAGAGTATTAGAGCTGCATCTGTGCTGTGGGCAAATTGGTTCTTCCAACTCCCATTTCAGTACACCAAAAATGGAACACTTTCTTATCTCAAGCAAATTTTACAAAATTGTGTGTGTCATCTTATTTTATGGTTTACACAGCAGATAAAGAATCAAACTCATACATCTTTCATACTTTTGAGAAACACAGTTCTATGAAAGAGCTGGAAATCAGTTTCAGGCAGTGTAATTTCATAAAATGAAGTGAAATGAAGGGAATTGTCACACACTTTTGAGTCTCTTGCTGTAATTTTATAGAAATGTATTATAGCTGTGCACATGAAAGAGAAAGTATAACATAGATTCATAGTATAAAAGAGAATTTAGACCAATGCAGCATTCACACTGACATTACCAAGTACTTCTAGTCTCATGTGTGAATCAGTCACATGCCCTCAGATTGCAGAGCTGTTCACTTTGAAATTCATACTTTTTCATGAGTAATGCACTCAACCCAATGAATCACTGCATTGATAAACTGAATGTGGTATTGTTTTTTGTGGTTTTTTCGGGCTGTGTGACCATGTTCTAGAAGAGTTTCTTTCTGCATCCATAGTTTTTTGTGGTTTTTTCGGGCTGTGTGGCCATGTTCTAGAAGAGTTTGGCCACACAGCCCAAAAAACCCACAAAAAACTATGGATGCTGGCCATGAAAGCCTACAACTTCACATTGAATGTGGTATGTTTTCCTCTCTCAAGCCTTTCATTTCTATCATCAGCTAAATTCTGAAAATAGTATGGAACAGAGGAAAATCTCACCACCATCATCATTCCTCATTCCCATGTACATTTAAAGTGGTTTGCAATTTG